GACACGGCTGGGGCAAAGGTTTGAGGCCGAACAGACCTCTGAGATTGTAAATGTCACCAATCTCGTCCACAGAGACGTTTCTCTCCCACAGTCTGACGTTGTGATGGTTGGAACTGCGACGCCATTTCTGAATTTGGGCCTTGTACCCATGATTGGTGTACCCAGGCTGATAGGGATAACGTTCTATCTAAAGTCAGAAAACAACCAAGTTCAGATACGGGCAAGGATAATGGAACTGGCATGGAATCACCATTTCCGCAACGGACTGTTGAACAATTCGCGGGGAAACGCAAACAACTTCAACTCGCCCGTAAAGATACATGACGAGTGTAAAGGGAAGATCGACGGAATTAGAATAATCAAAGGAAATTCGCTCACCAAAAAATCGAGGGAGAAAGCACCCTCCGCATACTTGACGTACGGATGCAGTCCACACGAACGAGATCCCCTTGGTAACCACGCAAAGGATCTCACACCCAGGCACATAGGGCAGCGGATGACAAGAGGGCGAGGTGAAGTGGGCCTCGGCACCGGCAGATTAACCACGGGAGCAGGAGGAGTCGAGTCATGCACCTTAATCTGGAGCACATGTGTACGATTTTCACCACGACGTTCTGCAGCACACACAGAACGCAATTGGGATCTCCCACCGCAAATTGAACAGTTTTTGGTCACAGCAACCATTGTGGTAGAACTAAGAGCACTTGTCTTCACGAGTATAAAAAAACAGACTGAATCGGATTATCGTCTGCATCATTCCCACCGAAATTGAATGAGTGGGGTGTGTAATCAGCGTGACACAGGCGCTGAAACCAGATAGCTTCAACGCAACTCGCAAAGTTGAAAATTTCATTTTGAGGTATAGAGCTCCAGAATTCTCTCTCTATTCCAGTTAGAAAAATATCTTGCTAGTTAGCATGATCTTCCCAAAAACGGGGGAGGAGAATGGGCCAGGGAATGGTCCAGGGGATGGTCCACGAATTGTCATCCCTAGAAACACTCATAGGAGCGTTGTGAAAAGCCGTCTGGAATTGAACGACAGGAAACGCGAGGAAGAATTTTCTTACTACAAGGAACGCTCAACGAATGAATTTTCACTTGGTGTATTTACAAAATACACTGGTGAAATTGGTCATAAGAAATTTGAGGGGGCGTTCAACCTGCTGAATCAGCAGAATGAATCGCTACAAGAGAACCGAGCAGATAACGAGCGCATTCTGGCCGTCTCCAGAAAAATGCGAAATATTATTATTCAGAAAATATATGCGAAAATAATTTTCGCATGGAAAATTCACAAAACACATGTGAAAATAATTTTTAGAAAACAACCTCGGTTTTCTCTCGAAAATCACGAATTGTGCAGAATTTTGTCGGAAAAGTCAATAATTGAAAATATTATCAAAGGATTATTCAAAGTTCAATTAGATTTTGAGAAATGTGATTTTCTCAGAGAAGTTCCATTTCAGAATTTAATTTCTAATTTAAAGATTCAAATTTTTACATTATTAGGAGATTTTGAGAAAAACATAACTTTCTTGAAGATGTATTTTAGACTTTAGGGACATCCAATGAATGATTAGTTTTGAAGGGAATAATGTAGTTGAACATTTTAGAATATCTGGCGGATTCAGTGAGAAGTATACTGATAATAATGAATTTAATAATTTTGTAAAATCTGACAATATTGTAAGAAAAATTGTGTCAGATAAGAAAATTTCCAATGATAGAAATTTTCTTCCGTAGCGGGGAGGAATGTTATCCCCCAGAATAGGGTCAATAAATCAAGTAATAATTTATTTACAAAAGTAAAGAAGTTGAACAATGAATTGAGTTCAACTTGCTTCACTCATTATTTTACTAATTCAGCGTTCATGTGCAACACTGCTGACCAGTGTGATAACATGACCCGCTTAATTATTATATAAACTGAACTCACGAGGATTCGGAAGTTCAGTCATCAAGTTAATTTGAGCTTAATACTCGTTTTGTATCATCTTTATAAAATCATATTTACCGCTTCTGGATAATTATGAGTTAGTTTGAATTAATAAATACCTCTATTTCTACCGAGTAATATACCGGATTCCAGTATCTACCCATTGTAGGGAGATTTATCTCCAAATAGCAGAACCCAGGGATTCATCCCTAACAAGTTAGATTTTCTAATTTTTATTTCGAAACTCCGGGCCGTGTACGGTGTATAAGGCGAATCTTCAAAAAACCATGGCAACTTTGAGCTTGAATAGATATTAAGGGTAACACTGAATATAAAAAATGTTGCGGGACTTCTATAAGTATACTATTTAGATCACTCCTAATTTTTTTCAGAGATTTTTCAAACTTATCATTATGTTGATTTTTGCTGATGTGGCGTGGCGCTTACGGCGTGTAACCAACGACTTCCGTAACTTTTACGCGACCAACGGAGTGTTAAAATTATTGATTTTCGCAGGAAATTGAATAGAGGACAAAACTATGATTCAGATGTTTATTGAACTTCATGATTTCCAATACAACATTACACATACTACGAATTAATAAACTCCCCCCTCCCTCCCCATTTCATAAATGCTGGTTTAATGTCTACTATACTGTGTCTCGTAAAGTGCTAATAACTGTTTAAATAATTCATAAATCCCTATATACAAATTCCCATCTAAATCTCCATCAATTCATTACCAAACTTAAATATTTTATACAATTTCCACTAACACCTGAACTTAACAATATTTATTGACCGTGAGTCATTCTCCATTTCCATTGATGTAAAATAGACATGATCTATACTAATCTCAATGGGAAATTTACAATGAATAAATTATTTCATTTCTACATTACTCAGATTAACCATAATTTATACAATTTAATGAGTGCTTGGGATTCTCCTAGAGGCAGAGTGGTCCAATCCCTTGAGTGTGTTTACATAATTTTCGATAATTTACTCCATCGAGTAGTATAAAAAGTCATCAAAAACGTATTGCTACCAATAAACATTACAATGTGTTACCTAAGTCGAATTCAATAGTGAAGTGATAAACCGTAACAGAACTCGTTAATTTTCCGTATTCTGTTACATATAAAAATAATTTTTATAATAAGTGATTTAAGAAGAAAATGTCAGAAGACACATTCTGTAGAAAAGTTTCTCAGGAAACAAGATCTTCTGCCATGTACATGTGAAATCACTCATTTATAAATAAATCGATCCAACAAGGTACATCATTTGACTACTGAATTGAACGTCTTAGTCCATACGCCAGGGCCATTTCTGTGTCCATTGACATTTTTTGTTTTCCCCATTGCGTTTTATGGTTGGACTTTATGTTTTCGGGGTCGCTGATCACGAATATGATAACCGTTTTTGCGAAATCACGGGCCGTCTATTTGTTCATAACAATTTAATTGTTTAAAACGCTCTGTCGCAAAAACGGTTTGAGATAGAAACAAATGTTTCAAACAAAGAATGTTTCTCACATTAAAAGGAACATTTTTTGTCATATGACTTGGTTCCCTAACTCTCATCGTTGAAGAGTTANCAATTTAATTGTTTAAAACGCTCTGTCGCAAAAACGGTTTGAGATAGAAACAAATGTTTCAAACAAAGAATGTTTCTCACATTAAAAGGAACATTTTTTGTCATATGACTTGGTTCCCTAACTCTCATCGTTGAAGAGTTATGCGTGGGAGTAACTCAGACGGTGCGCGACCACTTTGGCGCAACGGAAGCGCGCTTCAGGGCGGATTATAGCGAATCGGTCAAAGATGCATCAATTAAGTTATGAGACTCTTCACTCTATCTCCAGTAGTTAATGAGATATTCGCGTTCATGTGCACGGTGGCGGGTCAAATGAGTCGTCCGTTTCACATTTAACCGTAATTATCTCATTAACCATTGGTGACAGAGACAAATGTTTCATTACCAAATAGATGCATCATAAAATAACAAACATCTTTTGTTCGAAACATTTTTCTCTATCTTCATTTTCTGGGGAGGAAAATCATTTTCGAACTGACAATTTTTTTTTTTCATTACGAACCACTTTTAATGGAAACAACAGGAATTGTTGGATATGAGAACTCTATTTATATGGATTTCTGCACTTTTTCTGATCTTGACAGGTGCAAAAAGAACAACAGGACACTTTATGTAAAAAGCACATGCAAGTTGCTTTGACACAACTTGTACATGTGCAATTGGGTACTAGCTGATGTGCAGGTGAAATGAGTTCAGAAATGCGCTTAGGGATCAAGTCGTCTTCAACGAAGGCATATCCAAATCTCTCTTCATCCAATACCATGCGACTGAATTCATTGAAAAGGTCCAGAATCAAAACATATAGATAAGGCTTTTGTTTGCCAATTCGGAGAAGACGGTGTCCACACTCGTCGTCGACCGGGCGCTCGAGAGTGCATGTGGAACTCAAGTAAACGGACTGCGTAGTCGGAGTCTGACTCTCGCTTAAAATATCTCTGAAGCTAATGAAGATAGACAAAAATATTTCGAACAAAAGATGTTTGTTATTTTGTGATGCATCTATTTGGTAATGAAACATTTGTCTGTGTCACTAATGGTTAATGAGATAATTACGGTTGAATGTGAAACGGACGACTCATTTGACCCGCCACCGTGCACATGAACGCGAATATCCCATTAACTACTGGAGATAGAGTGAAGAGTCTCATAACTTAATTGATGCATTTTTCATTAACAAATTTTTTTGATTTGTACTATTTTGCCCTATCTTTGACAGATTCGCTATAATCCGCCCTGAAGCGCGCTTCCGTTACGCCAAAGTGGTCGCGCACCGCCTGAGTTACTCCCACGCACAATAACTCTTCAACGATAAGAGTTAGGGAACCAAGTCATATGACAAAAAATGTTTCTTTTGATGTGAGGAAAACATTCTTTGTTTGAAACATTTTTTTCTATTTCAAACCGTTTTTGCGACAGAGCGTTTTAAACAATTAAATTTTTATAAACAAATAGACGGCCCGTGATTTCGAAAAAATGGTTATCATATTCGCGATCAGCGACCCTGAAAACATAAAGTCCAACCATAAAAGGCAATGGGGAAAACAAAAAATGTCAATGGACACAGAAATGGCCCTGGCGTATGGACTGTTACAATTTACAAAAGATAACGTAGAACGATGTAAACATTGACTAGTTACAAACACAACATCATGCCGTTACTTGACACCAAGGTTCTACAAACAAATCATTATGCATTTTCGTAGGCTACAAATTCGCCTGAATGCTTTTGAAAAGAATCTCGGAAAAAATAGACCAAGAGAAATTTTCAAGTTAGGTGAGTTTTAGCACGTTTTGGGTGCGTGGGCTATTTTTTCCAGGTCTATTTTTTCCACCTACCCTTTAAAAATTTAATTTGAATAAATTGTCTCGATAGATAAAAGACACTTGGTTGATGGCACATTCCCTTAAGAAATTTACAATGTAAAATCCATCATTTGATATTAAAGTCGTCATGGGTTATGTCATAGATTGCTGAAAAATGTTTTCTTTTCTACTGGAAAAGAACAACACAGAATTGGTTCCCGCATCAATTGCAACCTGGCGATTCACAGTAACTATCAATAAATTCAATAAACAATATATATATTGGTAGAATGAATAAAGAAAATACAATGGACGTACTCGTCATCAGGTGATAAGCGCTGCATAAGTGCCTTTGCAACCATTTATCCAATACCACAATATTTATCCGACTTGGTGAATGGAAACTATAACAAAATCTTCTAACGTATTTGTGAATGAAAAAAAATGTAATTTTTTATCAACAATGTAGAAAATTTGTTTAGTGAAATTCCCATGACATCCTGAATTCATTATAAATTCCATCTTAATTAAACAATACATTGAAATATGCGCTATTTGTCAATACTGATTCATAATATTTGGCGTGTTCATTTGCGCCAGTCGATAATCATTCACACTTGCTCCTCACTTATTATCATTTTATTTGTCCTTCTACATGCACACACGCGGTTACGACAGTCGCTTATGCTCTCATATCTTACATTTTACATCGAGTTCTTCAACAGGTACGGGAACTGCTCTTGGCCATCATCGTCTTCATCGTCGTCGGGTAGATTGGATTCCGCGCTGGATGGTGGTGTGTCCAATTGCGGCAGTCCAAGGTCCAGATATTCCTGGCAGCAGACAAGGCAAATATTAAAAACCACTTTTCGCCGTAGTCAATATCGTTGGGCGCAGTACTAATACATGCAGAGTAGTTGAGGTCAATGAATAGAAGAGGATGGATACTGGGAATTTTCCTCATCAAAATGTCAGCCCATAGAATTGCACTATTCGACTGTTATTTCATATAGTCAACACGGTATTCAGCTGATAATTTTTGATAATTCAACTGATAATTTTTCATCTTGATTATATTTGTGGAAAACAAAAGATTCCGTGGTCGAGTCAGATCAACTGTCAGATGGATTTTGTCTCATAGTGCAATTCCTATGGCCGACATTTGGATGGGAAAATTCCCTCCCGAATACTACTCGAGCTTCAAAATTAAGCGAGTAATTCCCTCAAGGTTTCCTGCACACAAACGAAGTCGTCAAGTTTTTCAGGTTAAAAAATCACGAGTGCGAAGCACTCCGTTTGTTTGCAACGAACCTAGCGAGAATTGCTCGATAATTTTGAAGCTCTCGTGGTCTTACTTGCGGAAATTCGTCTAATGGCTCAACTTACTTGATTCGATGTTTGGGTGAGGATTTTGTCGAGTCGATCGACGATTGCTTCGAAATCAGGCCTCTCTTCGGGCAGGTAACTCCAACAGTCTCGCATTAACATGTATCTAGAAAAGACGAAACAATTTTTGAAGACTTCCTTCATTTCATATAACATCGTAATAACAGAATGTGTATACTATTTTTGTGAGAATGCAAATATTGAGAATTAAAAATCGGCTAGAAATTACAGCTGAATTCTCCTAATCGTGTTCCGTAACGTATTGACGTTTCAGGAAATTTTTAATGGCACTATCCTTTAACAAAAAATCCAGTGTAACTTTTTTTTTATCCAATCTATACGGCGTATTGTGTCATTAGGCTTTTTGTAAATGATGATAACATACATTAAAAATATTGCGATAATACTATATTATATTATATTCTACTAGGGGGCTACGCCCCCTTCTCGCTCCTCTCGCCAACCGCGGGGGGGGCTTCGCCCCCCCCCGCTCGCTTCGCTNCCCGGGGGGGGCTTCGCCCCCCCCCCGCTCGCTTCGCTCGCACCCCCCTCCCGGTGTGACCGAGTGGGTGTGAACAGGGTTTTTCCGATAGCTCTATACATACTTTACCATGAGAGGCCACAAACGTATAATTCCCCCCCATATATAGGCACCCCCCCATAAATGGCCACCCCCATATATAGGCATTCCCCCTATATGGGCACCCCTCATATATATAGGTACCCGCCCCCGCTCATATATATGGGCACCCCCCCGTATATGGGAACAACCCCATATATGGGCACCCCCTACATATGGGCACCACCCCATATATGGACACCGCTCATATATGGGCATCCCCTCATATATGGGCACCGCCCATATATATAGGCACCCTCCATATATGAACACCCCCATATATGGGCATATCCCATATATGCCCCCCATGTATGGGCACCCCCCCATATATGGGCACCCTCCATATAGGGACACTCCCCCTATATATGGGCACCCCCCATATATGGGAGCCCCTCTATATATAGGCGTCCACCCATATATGGGCAGTCCCCTTAGAACCCCCATGATCCTTATAACCCTTATTAACCCTATGCCCCTCGTGACCCTTAGCACTCCTATGACCGTCGTGACCCTTAACACTCCTATGACCCTCGTGATCCTTAGCACTCCTATGACCCTCGTGATCCCTAGAACCTCTATGACATTTAGAACCTCTATGACCCCTGTGACCTTTGAGACCCTCGTGACTCTTATGACCCTTAGCCCCTCTATGACCCTTATGACCCTTAGCACCTCTATGACCTTCGTGACCCTTAAGAGCCTTAGTACATTTGTGACCCTCGTGGCCCTCATAACTCTTAGCCCTTCTATGACCCCTATGACCCTTAGGGCCCCTATGACCCTTGAGACCCTCCAGGGGTGGGGACGTCCTCTGAAGCCCTGAAGCCCCCGCTGGCTTCGCTCGTTTCCGGCTCCCGGTGTGACCGAATGGGTGTGACCGGGAGCGTTTTTCCGATAGCTCTATAAATACTTTACCATAAGAGGCCACATACGTATAATTCCCCCCCACATATGGGCACCCACCCTATATGAGCACCCCCTACATATGGGCACCCCCCCATATATGGGCACCCCCCATATATGGGCCGGATCAAGCGTCGCCTGAATTTTGAGCATCGCCTGAATTTTTGGGCTTATTTTTTTATTATACATATAGAGAGATACTGTACTATATTATTATACATCAGACATATATAATGGTGGTGTCCCGCAACCGATCACTTTCCTCGGAAGGTATTGTAGAGGATGAAATTTGGGATCGAAAGTTCCCCTTCGGTTTTTCGATCAGACCATTTTTTTTTGTTTTTCATTTTTTAACTTTGTCTGACTTTTTATTTTTAAACATTCTGTTACTACTTATTCCAGGACCGAAAAATATTTTTTTAAAGGGTTCATATTTTTTGGAAAAAAACCCGTTTTTTTATGTAGTACATCGATACGTAGCCACCACACCCCTTCCAGCCCTTTAGCACCGCGAATTAATTTGCAAAAAGATAAAATCACGAAACCGAAGAATTTTCTTTCCTTTATTTTTGGGTTTTTCTCATGACTACGATTAGGTCTATTAATTCCGGTCCCTCGCGACCCCAATCATTTTCGATGAAGAAAGGGAATTATGCAATAAATTATTATTTTCTTTAGTTTTTCGTCAGGAAATCCTTTTCATGTGCTTTATTAAGCCTCTCACCCATTTATTATTTTCAGAATCATTTTCGAAAACAGGAATGGTAAAAACGAAACCCTAATTTTTATTTTTTCTTCGGCTTTTGGAAATGATTTTGGAAGCGTGGGGATAAAATGGAGAGTTTTTGAGTTGAGGGCAGAACAGATGGATAACGCTTCTGATTACCGACATGGAAAAAAATGAAAAACAAAGAGAAAAGAAATAATTTTAATGTTAATTTCCTTTTTGGCTTTTGGGAATGATTTTGGAAGCGCAGCGATAAAGACGGGGAGTTGGTGAGTTGATGAATGGATAGATGGAGGACGTGTCTGATTACTGACATAAAAAACAACAAAAAAACGAAGAAAACAAAATAATAATTCCTATTTTGATTTCTTTTTTGGCTTTTGGAATCGATTTTGGACGTGCGGCGATAAAGATGGGGAGTTGGTGAGTTGATGAATGGATAGATGGAGGACGTGTCTGATTACTGACATAAAAAACAACAAAAAAACGAAGAAAACAAAATAATAATTCCTATTTTGATTTCTTTTTTGGCTTTTGGAATCGATTTTGGACGTGCGGCGATAAAGATGGGGAGTTGGTGAGTTGATGAATGGATAGATGGAGGACGTGTCTGATTACTGACATAAAAAACAACAAAAAAACGAAGAAAACAAAATAATAATTCCTATTTTGATTTCTTTTTTGGCTTTTGGAATCGATTTTGGACGTGCGGCGATAAAGATGGGGAGTCTGTGAGTAGGTGGGAGGATCGATCGATAACGTGTCTGATTACCGACATGGAAAAAAAAGAAAAACAAAGAAAAAATAATAATTCAAATTTTTTTTTTTTTTTTGGCTCTTGGAAATGATTTTGGACGCACGGCGATAAATATGAGGAGTTTGTGAGTCGAAGGGAGGATAGATGGATAACGTGTCTGATTACCGACGTAAAAAAAGTAAAAAACAAAGACAAAAATAATAATTCCAATTTTTATTTCTTTTTTCGTTTTTAGGATTGATTTTGAACGCGTGGAGATAAAGATGGGCAGCTTGTGAGTCGATAGGAGGATCGATGGATAACGTGTCTTATTTTCGACATGAGAAAAAAAAAGCGAAAAGCAAAGAAAAAAAGAGTCGAGGGTCATGAGGGTCACTTAGGGGAGAGTCAAGCATCACAAGGGTCACTTGAGGAGAGTCAAGCATCATGAGGGTCACTTGGGGGAGAGTCAAGTGTCACGAGGGTCACTTGAGGGGAGAGTGAAGCGTCACGAGGGTCACTTGAGGGGAGAGTGGAGCATCACGAGGGTTACTTGGGGTGAGTCGAAGGTCATGAGGGTCACTTGGGGGCGAGTCGAGGGTCATGAGGGTCACTTGGGGGGAGAGTCGAGGATCATGAGGGTCACTTGAGGGAAGAGTGAAGCATCACGAGGGTTACTTGGGGATGAGTCGAGGGTCATGAGGGTTCGTTGGGGGAGAGTCGAGGGTCATGAGGGTCACTTGGGGGAGAGTCGAGGGTCTTGATGGTCGCTTAGANTCACTTGAGGGGAGAGTGGAGCATCACGAGGGTTACTTGGGGTGAGTCGAAGGTCATGAGGGTCACTTGGGGGCGAGTCGAGGGTCATGAGGGTCACTTGGGGGGAGAGTCGAGGATCATGAGGGTCACTTGAGGGAAGAGTGAAGCATCACGAGGGTTACTTGGGGATGAGTCGAGGGTCATGAGGGTTCGTTGGGGGAGAGTCGAGGGTCATGAGGGTCACTTGGGGGAGAGTCGAGGGTCTTGATGGTCGCTTAGAGGAGAGTCAAGCATCACGAGGGTCACTTGAGGGAAGAGTGAAGCGTCACGAGGGTCACTTGGGGGTGAGTCGAGGGTCATGAGGGTCACTTGGGGGAGAATCGAGGGTCATGAGGGTCACTTGGGGGAGTTTGTGAGTCGATGGGAGGGTAGATGGATGACGTGTCTGATTACCGACATAAAAAAAAGCGAAAAACGAAGAAAAAAAATTCTAATTTTGATTTCTTTTTTCGCTTTTGGTAATGACTTTGAACGCGTGGAGATGATGGAGAATTTCTTAGTCGTTGAGAAGATAGATGGATGACGTGTCTGATTACCGACATAAAAAAAAGCGAAAAACGAAGAAAAAAAATTCTAATTTTGATTTCTTTTTTCGCTTTTGGTAATGACTTTGAACGCGTGGAGATGATGGAGAATTTCTTAGTCGTTGAGAAGATAGATGGATGACGTGTCTGATTACCGACATAAAAAAAAGCGAAAAACGAAGAAAAAAAATTCTAATTTTGATTTCTTTTTTCGCTTTTGGTAATGACTTTGAACGCGTGGAGATGATGGAGAATTTCTTAGTCGTTGAGAAGATAGATGGATGACGTGTCTGATTACCAACATGAAAAAAAAGCGAAAAACAGAAATTAATTGCAATTTTAATTTCTTTTTTCGCTTTCGGAAATGATTTTGGAAGATAGTCCATACAGACTATCCAGCCCAGAAGATTTTATAGTTGGATTATATGTTTTTGAAGGTGCTGATTCTGACTATCAAGTCCGTTTTTGCCAAAGCAGGTGTCTTCTATTTGTTCATAACAATTTAATTGTTTACAAGTAGATATTGCAAAAACTGTCGGAGATACAAAAGAAGTTGACAAACAAAAATTGTTCGTCATTTTAAAATACGGATTTTTTGTCATATTACTTTTTTCGATAACTACTACGGATGAAAACATATTTGAGGCAAGAGTGGAACAAGCGGTACGTTACCGCGGGCGCACAGCGCGAGCCCACTCCGATGCGTTTTGTCGAAAACTCGAAGATAGAAAAAATTGTTTCAAATAAAAAAGATTTTACATGAAATGTTGCATCAGATAAG